GTTTTAGCTCATAAAATTCATACAAATTACCCGGTCAGAATATAATTTACATTGCTGGAATTCTTATAATTTGGTGATCATTTTGAATATAAACAACATATATTTTGCATTAAACATACAATTTTTAGATAAAAATTGTTCTCTAGGTAATTATGTTATCTTTTGTCCAAAATATATGACATTTATATTCAAAATATTCCTGGTCTTACAAGGAATCCAGCAATGTCAATTATATTATCCTAACTTTAATCTGAGGTATTATTTAATACTAAATGTTAAAAACTCTTGAATGGAGGATTGGTGGGGGGTGGGGGGAGGGTTGGGACTGACCACGCGGTTGGAAGAGGGGGGGAAGGCAAGGTGGGGTACTTTGATTGACAGATAGTGTCCAAGAATATTTTTTTTTTTTTATTAACTGAAGATATTTGTTTTAGCTCATAAAATTCATACAAATTACCCGGTCAGAATATAATTTACATTGCTGGAATTCTTATAATTTGGTGATCATTTTGAATAAAAACAACATATATTTTGCATTAAACATACAATTTTTAGATAAAAATTGTTCTCTAGGTAATTATGTTATCTTTTGTCCAAAATATATGACATTTATATTCAAAATATTCCTGGTCTTACAAGGAATCCAGCAATGTCAATTATATTATCCTAACTTTAGTTTGAGGAATTATTTATTACTATACCTGGTTTTCCCCCAAAAATTTCTCAGAGGGAAGAGCCAGTGAGTGTAGTGTGAGAAGAGGGGGAGGGAGTTGAGTCCATTATTTGAATGGACATTAACTTGGCGACTGTATTTCTCTATTTCTCTTAAGTATTAATTGTGTGCATGTACCATCATAAAATTAAGATGTTATTTTTACTACAACATAGTTATTTGTCGTCAAAAAGTGGAGTTTGGGGGTCGGGCTGGGTTCTATTGGAATTAATCCCATATGTTCTGTTATTCACTTAACGAGGTTTTCACTTAACGCGGGACCCTCTGGGTTCAATTGACCACGTTAAGTGGGGTACAACTATATATATATATATATATATATATATGTATGTATGTATGTATGTATGTATGTATGTATGTATGTATGTATGTATGTATGTATGTATGTATGTATGTATGTATGTATGTATGTATGTATGTATGTATGCATGTATGCATGCATGCATGCATGCATGGCATGCATGCATGCATGCATGCATGCATGCATGCATGTATGTATGCTGCATGTATGTATATAGTACAGACTCAGTCTGCACTCACCCCCAAAGATGTGAATCACACCTAAAGCGCTTGGGAACCTTGCACTTTCTTTCTTTCCTGTATATATATATATATATATATATATATATATATATATATATATATATATATATATATATATATATATATATATATATATTCGTGATATGTAAATTCACCTGATGAATTTTTTTTAACCTAACCGTTTCATATCCCAAGGGATACCTGTACTGTACTGCACTGTACTGAACTGTACTGTATATATTAAGGTGCAAAAATTATTTACAGGTCCGATTCGTGCATTGATCACTTCTATTTTATTAATTTTATTAATAATGATCTTTTCCTCGTTACAGACGCCTGTCACTTTATCAGACTAATTAATGCATAACTGTCTAGCTGGGAGGGGTTCTAGTACAATACAGTACAGTATGATTAATCATCACTTGAGTGGATGCAAACCTTACCCATAAGTGTTTGGCACTATGACATACTACTCTACATACTGTATATTTGGGGTTAAATACAGTGACCCCTTGGTTAACGAACTCAATCCGTTCCAGAAGGTCGTTCGTTAACCGAAACCATTGTTTCAATGGGTTTTTGGGTAATTGGTTCCAGCTCACCTTAAATTTCCTAAATTCAACAAAAATGGTAGAAAAGTTCACTTACTTTGAGGTGTGTATGTAGAAGGCTCCTGGATGATGATGATGGGATTTAAAATGGGGGTGGAGGAGAAGGAAGAAGAGAAGGCATTGGGGTGGAAGAGAAGTCACCCCATGGCGCCATTTCACCCATAAGATTTTAGCTCTCTTGGTGTAATTCAAGATTATTTTCTTTAAATCAACACTGCACTGCATTATATATTGTCAATATGTAAAATATATTTCAAAATGACCAATAATTTGCTTGGAAACACAGAAAAAAAGCGTTTAGTTGAAGAGAGTCTCAAGCAAGATGTTACCTCCAGTGAAAACAGAGAGAGACTAAAGCCTGTTTGCTGTGTTAAGAGGCTGGATGCCGCGTATTAAACTAGTCACTTTACTTCAATTATGTTCAATAATTGTTAAAATGACTAAAAAATTGAATATTTAACTTTTAAAATTATTGAATAGTATAAACTTCTTGATATTTACTAAAATAGTAAGGAATTTAAGCCCTAGAACCGATTAATGTATTGGCGGACTGATACTAAAGCTGGTTGCCCGGTCAGTGCAAGCGAAAACATGTTGAGGTCGGTTCGTAAGAAATTCGTTAACCGAATTTTTGTTCGTTAACCGAATTGAAGATCCTTATGGAAGGTAGTTCGTTAATCGAAATTTCGTTAACCGAGGCGTTCGTTAAACGAGGGGTCACTGTAAACATAAATATTTGCCAGAGGTTTTGAGAATTGGTACTGCATCTTTTAGAACATCAAAACAATGAACAAAAGAAATTCTTTTTTTTTTAAGGAAATTCCCAACATGATATAGTAACTTATTTCCAAAATAAGAACTGGAATAAGTTGTTTCTTAAATTTCATGCCACAATGTATAAACAGTACCATCAATCTTAAATACAAACCTCCACTTGTGGTCGTGTCATCCCAAAGTGACTGCGGAAGTCACTCAAGTTGTAGTTGTAGAATGCCATCATTCCCCCTTTCTGCAAATAATCTTCTGCACTACGACCACACCTAAAAGCAATAAAATGTATGATTAAACTCTAAAATAAAATTTTATGCTGAGGAGGGGAAGCAAATAACCTGTGAGAGAACCCACTAAACACCCTCTCTATTACCATTAGAGAAGCTTCATAGTTTAATGGCAGGATGCTATCTAAGCAATAGGCAGTTAGATAGCATTTTGCTACTGTTAACATTTCTCAGCCAACTGATTTAGAGTCCACTGGGGCCCATTTGAAGCAGTGGCTAACTTAAAGTACTTAGTTACCAACAAAGTGGATTATGTCTGAAAATGGCCATAGAGCTCAAATGATTGACAGGAACTGTAGTAATTTACCCCAAAAATGGCATTATGTAACCAAGCAAAATATGGGTTAGAGTGCACTGATGCCAGCACAACACAGCGCAAGATTTCTTGCTTTCAGCCTTTAGAGGTATACTGTATAACCTTTGTACAATATTCATAGGGTTTCTTTTTAGATATCTAAATATGACTGTAAAGTACAGTACATGCTAATTTGGGGGTATTAAAAATGTCACTCTTGGGTCCTAGAAACCCTGGATTTTCAAACCAAACTTGGGTCACCCAATCCAAGAACAAGGCTATGAAATGTTCTGTACAAAATTTTGTAGGCCTTAATCACCTTCATACAAGTTTGCAGTGTTGTACATTGATGCCGTTAGTTTAACGCCGTCAATGGACGGTGGCAACCTTTTGTTAATGCTGACGCCATCAATTTTTTGGGCAGGTGACTCAGTCAACTTTTCACCTGAGCGTAGTGTCAAGTGTCAATTTGTTCGTTAACTTCTAAATTTTTTTTAATTTTTTCAAGTTCGATTTTCAATTATCTTGTTATAAAGACGACCGGGAAAAATTTTGCCGCACACCTGAACAGCTTTCTACAAATTTGAATTTTTAAGTTTGAACCAGAATTGTACTTGCTTCCTGACCGTTAGCATTGTGGTGTGAAAATGTGCGACCGAGCGGCACCCGAAAACATGAGTCACAACGGAGCCAGCGGCGAGAGGGGCGCTGCTGCAGCTGGGACAGTGCAGAGCAGGGGCACTGGGGCAGTGTGGTGAAGAGCACGAGGGGTAGTGTGTGTTCGCGCGGAGTGGTGACAAGGCAGCGTGTTGAGTGTGCAGCAGAGGGTAGTAACTATGTCAGTGGTGACCAGTGGTGATCAGGTGAGTAATGCCAGCCTCCAGATCCAGGCTAATACCTCCAGCTCTGCCAGAAGTGAGATGTCCCAACCGTCCCGGGACGAGGAAGAGCGACAGGGGATCGGGAGTGTCCAGCCAAATCCAGGTCCTTGGCACTACATCAGCAAGTACTTCAAGTATGTCTCCCGCAAGGGGGACACCTTGTACTTCCAGTGCCAGATGTGTCTGCCCGCAAAGATGATGTTCTCTTGCACCGAGAAGTCGCGGAATGTCCTGAAAAGCCACTACCAGCACATTCATACCTCCTGCTTTAACGAATTCAAGTACTGTATGGCCGAGGGCAGCAAGGCATCCAGGTCGAAGAAGTGACCCCTCGAGCAAGAAGACCAGAACAAAAGGAAGGAGTTAGTGCAGCCTACCTTGACGGCTGCCCTGGCAGGGCCGTTGAAGTACAGCCAATCTTTCATAGACAATAAGGTAATTTAACTACTGTATTTAAGTTTTTTTTTTTCTACATGGTTTTTAATCAATCTTTTATTCAGTGGGAAGCATTTCATGCAGTTGTGACTACTGAATTCAGTGAATTGATGGAAAGACTGAAAATTCAATAATTTGATTAAAATTTAATCTATTTAAATGTAACAATTTGTGATTTTAAATTGATACATTCCTTCTGTTCTAACAGATCACCGACTTCGTCGTAGAAGACATGATGTCGATGAGAGTGGTGGAGTCCCGTGCCTTCAATGAGCTAGTCAACCTTATACCTGGCCACAACAAGAACTCTATGACCAGAATAAAAGTCACCAAGCGTACTGAAGACAGGTATTGTTCAATTATTCTTGAATTAGGTTTTATTTGTAACTTTTTAAATGTACGTAAAATAATTAAATTTAAGTTATAATTTTATTTTAACTTTTCAGTTAATAGCTTCAAAAGGAGCAGCTCAAAAACACCCTGAGCAATTTGCCTTGTGTTGCCACAACTGCTGACGCTTGGACATTCAGAAAGAGGTGTGTTCTAAATGTTGTTTTTGTAGACTTTCCCTGTCATAAATTGTCAACATTATATTTTATATTTATTTATTTTTATTTCAGGTCTTACTTGGGCATGACAGTCCACTGGATTGACCCCGAGTCCTTGAAAAGACAGCAGAGGGTGTTGGCCTGTCAACGTTTGCTGGGCACACACACATACGACCACTTAGCCAAGGCCATCCACGACATTCATTTGACCTTTGGCATTGCCAACAACGTCGTCAGCACCACCACAGACAACAGCACCAATTTCGTCAAGGCATTCAAGTAAGTTAAATTTTAAATTAAAATGAAATTTCAGTTTCATTTCACTTTTATCAGAATTTTAAATTAAGAAAAAAACAACACTGAACCAGTGTTACATAATGAAATATGCAGTTTTTAAATTTAATTTTTAAAAACTTCTCTTTTGCTCTTCAGTGTCTTTGGCGAGCCCGATGAAGACTGGGTACGGGTAGAGGACCCCCCGAGGTGGAGCCTGACGACAAAGGCGAAGCTGACGACCCAGACGACCATGTCGAGGTGGATGATGTGGCAGCTATTCTGGCCAATGGAGAGGAGGAGACTTTCAATGAGCTGCCCAAGCACTCGAGGTGCGCCGCCCACTCCCTGAACCTTGTGGCCACCACTGACGCCGAGAAGGCCTTCTCCGACAACTACAAGAAGGCCAACCGTTCCACCTTTGGCAAGGCTGTCTCTCTTTGGAACAAGCAGCATAAGTAAGTTCAAAGTGTATAAAACATAAATTAATTATAATTCTTTAAAAAATATAAAATGAAATTTGAGATTTTCATTACATTTAAAAATAAAAAAAAAGTTTTGATCTAAAGAAAAAATTCTTTACTGTTTCAACTTATAATTACAAAACAATGAACATTTTAGGAGTTCCCAAGCCACAGACATCATGAGTCAGGAGGTTGGGAAGCTGCTTCTCGTGCCCAACGCCACCAGGTGGAACTCGATGTACGACGCGGTCGTCAGGCTGGTCGACATGTTTGACAACAAGAAGACGGGCCTTCAGAATATATGTCGAAAAATGGAAATCCGTTTCTTTACAACATGTAAGTTAACAAATGTAAATTAATTAAATTATACAAATTAATTAAATAATTATTTTAAATTAAAACAAGTTTATTATTATTAGGTTTACTAAATTTTAGAGACAAATTGTGAACACAATTCTTGTTTCAGATGACATTGCATTCTTGAGGGAGTACAAAGATGTCATGGGTCCCATTGCTGTCGGTTTGAATGTCCTGCAAGGGGAGGAAAAGGCCTACATGGGCCGCCTGTTGCCCATGTTGGCCAGTGCCCTCAACAGTCTCGCGGCAAAGGGGATGGACAATTACCTTGAGTACTGCAAGCCCCTAGTTCACAGTCCTATCCAGGGCTTGAAGAAAAGGTACTTGCTGTATTTAAATTTTACATTTGAAAAGCAGCATGTTTAAAATTTAAAAAATGCCTATGAATAATAAAATGAAATTATTAACGGATTTTTTATTTACATCTCTCTTGTCTTACTGTAGGTTTGGCCACCTCTTCCACGACATGGACTGCATCCTCGCCAGCGCGACCGACCCCAACTACAAGCTGTCATTCTGGCTCGACTGGTTTCCCGACATTAATGCAGAGGGAGTCAGGAAAAAGGCCACCAACCAGCTGTCCAGGTTGGTGGAGAAGTCCGTGCACGAGGCTGAGAGCAGCAGCAGCAGTGAGGGAGACAACAAAGACCATGACATGGAGTACGAATTGTTCCAGGCCCTGTACGAGACCCCCCGCAGGAATGAAAATGACAGTGACCTTTTCAAGTGTTTCCTGGGGGAGAAACCTTCGAAAAAAACTTTCGACAAGGACACCTTCCCCAACAAGGCCATGAGGGAGTTATTCATCAAATACAACACCCCCATCCCCTCTAGTGCTGCCGTGGAGCGCATGTTCTCCATGGGCAAGGACGTCTTGAGGCCCAAGCGCTGCAGAATGAGCGACAAGCATTTTGAGATGCTAGTATTCTTGCGGGGGGAGCAAATGAATAATTAAAATTATATAATATAAATCATAAAAAAATATTAAAATGAATGAACATTTTTTGATTTTGCATATGTTACGCCCATACACAGGAGAATACGTGTTTCGGGGCTGCATTTGTACGTCACTGAAAACTAGTTGATGCTAGGCGTTGACGCTAACGGCATCAATTTATGAAATCGTTTACGCCGACGCTGATGGCATCAAATTTCTCGGCCGTTTACGCTGACGCTGGTGGCGCCACTTTTTTCGTTGACTCGTACAACACTGCAAGTTTGCTTCAGCTTTGTACTAACTTCCTTATTCCCTTAAACAGTAGCGTAGTCCTAGCAAAAAAAAGTGTGAGAATGGACTTATACAATTTACTTAATACTGTAGCCACCCAAACTAGAGGCGGCCAGTATTCTGTGTAAGACCCCTCCATTGTTCTTAATAAGGGTATTTTGAAGCCTAGTACTCTTCTCAATTCCACAGCTGGAGCTGTTCCATGCATCTATCACCCTCTGTGTGAATAAGTTTTTTCTTTTATTCGTCCTACATGATATCTTTGTGAGCTTGAAGTTATGTCCCTTTGTGTTGGTGGTGTGTGACATCACAAAAAAAAATGGCCTGGGTTCACTTTTTCCAACCTTTTCAAGGTTTTGAATGTTTCTATGAGATCTGCCTTATTGGGTATTGTCTGAAGAGTTGTTAGTCCTAAGGTCATCAATCTACTTGGATAATCATGAATGATTTAGTTCCAAAATCATCTTAGTTGCTGTGTTACACTTTTCTAGGGATATCAAGTCTTTCTGAAGGTAGGGTTTCCAAGCCTCTATACAGGAATCCAGGCTGGGATGTATGAGAAACTTATAGTTGAAGGAGGTTTTCCTATCTTTGTATTTGAAGGTACGCCTTATAATTCCCAAATGTTAGTCGGCTTTTTTCACAGCTGCTCCCACTCTGAAGAGATGGAGAAACTTTTGAGTGTGTAGTTGGAAGACCAGCATCAACATTGCATTCCTGTAAGCCTTCTCCTAATTCAACAGAAGGCCTTAAATCTCTTTGAAGATGTAAAGGCTGAACATGGTGAATATGTTGAGGATTCATTTATACTGCAAATCACCGTTGGTTTCACCGATTTAAGGCTCAGTGCTGATAAAGTAGCAGCCAGGGAGTTTTCTAAGGTTCTATGTCACATCATCGTTGAAGGTTGTTACTTCCAGAGCAGGTATTTAATGTGAATGAGAATGGATTATATTGGAAGAAAATGTCTGATAGAACACATTGCCAATGAGAAGATTATGCCAAGTTTTAAAGCACTCCTACTTGGTGGAAATCCTTTTGGTGCTACAAACTGAGACCATTGTTATTGTACAGTACAGGTCCACAATCCCTTATCTGCAATTCCGAAATCCGAAGAGCTCTGAAAACTGAAACTTTTTGTGGAGCATCACTCGTGTGCACGATATACCCAGACCGACGCCGATGCGGCCAAAGCTTGACCTACACAGGTGTGAGGCGTCAGTTGTGTCTCAGCAGAATAAAAATTACATTGCTGGAATCCTTGTAAGACAGTGAATAATTTGAATATTAACATCATATATTTTGCACAAGAGATAAAAATTTTAGTCCATTAGTGTAGTACATTTTAGTACAAGTTTTTCAACTCATATTTTTGGGTAGATATACGTAACTTTCTTCATTTATTTTCATGCACACACTATCTTAAATACATATATATCCCACAATTTCATTTATACCTTACCTTACCTTACCTTACCTAACCATTCAGAAATCCCAAAAATTAAAAAATCTGAAACACATCTGACTCCAAGGATTTCAGATAAGAGATTGTCAACCTGTATTGCCAAAGCTTCACTTACTGTTGTGTGGAAAGCTAACCTTAAGGTCTCAGTGACTCAGATCCTCTTCCAGGACTGATTTTTCACCATTTTGTACCTGAAGTGGAGTAGTACTGTAGCAACAACAACCTACCCTTCAAGATCCTGATGGTGCTAGATAATGCCCCTGGTCAGTGGTCATCCATCATCCCTGGACGATGTCAATGCTAACATCAAGGTATACAGATATCTTGTCTCCCAATACCACTTCTATGACCAAGGTGTCACAGCTACTTTCAAGGAATACTACCAGCAGAGAACTTTTAAAGAGGCTTTTAAGTCTACAGAGGGGAAAGTCGAGTGACACTGAAACAGTTCTGGAAGGACTACAATATCTGCAAGGCAGAATCAAGAACATTGAGCTTCATGGCACGAGATCTAGTCTTCCAACGTGAATAATGGTAGAAGGTGGCTCTACCCACAATTCACCCAAGACTTTCTGGGATTTGCGGAGGCTGGCGTCAGTGGCCAACAACCTGGAGGAACTGACCAGGCATCTGAAATTGGACTGAAAAAAGATGATATCCATAAACCTTTGGAATGCCACATTCAGGAGCTGACTAATGAAGAGTTGATGGGTGCAGGAAGAGATCAGTAAGGAAGAACAGGAGGCTGAGGAACCCAAAAAGTTCAACTGTAGGCAGCTGGCTTCTTTAGAGTCTAGGGCCCAAAGTGCTAGCTTCTTTTGAGTCTCAGGACCCAAAGTACTGGCTTCTTTTGAGTCTTAAAACCTAAACACTACAAGGTTTACCAAAGTGTCTGCAGCTGTTCACAATGCTGAAGCCTGCTACAAGATGGTATACTGTGTGAGGAAAGAAGAGAGCAACTGTACAGACATCTCTTGATAAGGAGCAAGGGGCATTGGCATTTACATCTACAGGAAGTTAAACAACCTATAAAGCCATTCCCAATGCCTTCAGACCCTCATGATCCTCTATCATCACTGCTACACTAACAAATCTGCAGAGCCAGACCAGCCACCCTCACCTCCATCCTTCCAGTACTGTAACTCCAACACCCCTGCAAGCAACATCAGTTCCAGCAAGCATGGCAGCACCAGGAATAAAGTATGTAATCTTATAAGTACCTTTAATAATTACTACAATACACCTATATATCAGCCCATACAGACCCATGCATACATTAATTGCTGCACTGTATTGCTTGCAAAATTAATATAAGCTATTTATACAGTACATTAAAATACTGTTAAAGGCTGATTAAGTAATGTGCTGTATTTATTATTGGGGTATTACTTTACTGTAGATCCTATATTTTTTCCTTTTTTACAATACAGGAGGTCCTCGACTTACAAACGCCCGCCGATACGAACGGGGTTAAACTTGAAATTTACAGTATTTTATTTACCTGATGACATATTTTTCACTTTAATTTACTGTATTTTGTCATTCTATTTCTTCTTTTGTCTTAAATTAAGTGATTTTAGTAATATATAAAGACATACCTGTAGGCTATAATATACAGTAGTACCCCGATTTACGCGGTCAATTGAACCCACAGGGTACCGCGGAAAGTGAAATCCGCGTAAATGGAACAACAGAACATATGGGATTAATTCCAATAGAGACTGGCCCGACCCCCAAACTTCACTTTTTCCGACACAATACCTATGTTGCAGTAAAAATAACATCTAAATTTTATAATGGTATGCACACACAATTAATATTTAAGAGAAATACAATCGCCAGGTTAATGTCCATTCAAATAAGACTCAAATCCCCCCCCCCTCTTCCCAGCTCACTGGCCTCTACCTCTCTGAGAAATGATTGGGTGAAACACTAGATTTTAACGTTTAGTAATAAATAATACCTCAGACTAAAGTTAGGATAATATAATTGACATTTCTGGATTCCTTGCAGGTCAGGGAATATTTTGAATGTAAACTTCATATATTTTGCATAAAAGATAAAATACTTGCTTTGTGTAAACCAAATTATTACATTAGGTCTAAAATTTGTATGTCTAATGCAAAATCCATGATGTTTATATTCAAAATGATCATCATATTGTAAGAATTCCAGCAATGTAAATTATATTCTGGCCGGGTAATTTGTATGAATTTTATGAGCTAAATAAAAAAAAAACACATTATACACCTAGACCCCGACTTACGACTACGTGGACTTACGACCGTCGGGACTTACGACCGCCTCAGATATAGATAAAAAAAAAAAAAAAAAAATATGCGAAACGTTTCCAGTTAATGTAGTCTCCATGTATAATTAGAAAATTATGGGGCCCCATGTGCATTCAGCTGACTACATTAAAGGTTAAGTGCTCAGTCACACTGTATCCATTCCTTATTATTTATTACTTTCACTGTACTGTATCCATTCATTATTATTCATTACTTTTACTGTACTGTATTTCATTGTAGATTTTTATTAAAAAAAAAAAAAAAAAAAATTTTTATCTATGTCGGACTTACGACCATGTCGGACTTACGACCTGGATTTGGGTCCCTAACCCCGTCGTAAGTCGGGGTCTAGGTGTACTTCATGCGTATATGGGTAGATGAACCGCGGAAAGTGAAAGTTCGGTTCTGGCGAGGCACCGCGTATATGAGAAATCACGTAAAGTGAAACCGCGTAAAGTGGGGTAATACTGTAGTGGGATTTTAAACACTGTTCTATAAGTACGGTATGCATATAGCACGCGTTCTGACTTACGTACAAATCCAACTTATGAATGTCCTCAGGAACGGAACCCGTTCGTAGCCCGGGGACCCGCTGTACTGTACAGTACGAATATGCAGCATACATCAATCCACCCTGCCAGTTGACAAAGGTAACTGCACTGTAAAATGTGACCAACTGTACAGTACAGTACTTACTTTTTGCGTTTCTTGCTCTCAGGCTCCTCTGTCTTTATGATAATCTGACCTCCATCAAAACGCTGCACAGGATCTACTTGTGACATCTTTTGTCTCTTGGTTGGCCTATAAGATATAATAATAAAAATCTTGGCCATACACAGTACGGTATAATAAATAAAGTAAAAGTACAAATTATGAATAGGACTAAATGATATGATATACTGTACTGTACAAGTACAGTAATGCTTACAAACCAGATTCAACATAAATATATATATTTCATGATATTTAGC